AAGTTCGGGAAACATTTCTTACAAGGATATATGAGGCTTTAAAATACTTTATTATACATTTGGATGTTTTCTTGGTACTTGGGCTTATGTATTGATGTAATTGCCCTAAAAAGGAAAATATTGTATCTATATATATATATATATATATATATATATATATAAAAACTTGGTACTTTTATATCTTAGACTTAATTGAGCATTTAGTGGCAGCTTGAAGCCTAGCATTTTCTTGAGGCAAAGTCTCTCTACCATGACATCGCTGCAACTCCTATAAGACAACCTTATCTTATAAATTTTTACTTTCTGACCACAATTTGTAATTGTACATCACTACTATCTAAGCTCCTCTTTTGCACAATATTGCAATTCCACCTTGTGATTGCTTAATATTGCAATCTAAGTTCCTTTTCTACGCAATATTGTGACCATGCCTTGATACACTTTGTCCAAAAAATTTAATGCACAAACTCTGTAGTCTCAATCCAGCACCCCCTATTATGAAATACCTATGACAATCAATATGGTTGTATGCAAAAGTATGGCATTACAATCCAACTAGATTCCAACGCCTAGTACAATTGTAACCAAAATCCAGTAGCAAAATGAACTCAAATTATAATTTTTTGATATATATATGTATATATATATTATCTAATTTATTCTAACTTACTATATCACAAATTGAAGAGAAAGAGAGATTCTTATCAGGTGAAAGATTAGAAATCTATATCAAATAAAATTAAGCTATCACTCACAATACAAATAGAGAAATTAAGAATGCAAGTATAAAAATAAGAGAAATTGTAAAGCTTTATTAAAATGGCTAAAATACCATAGTGAAACAAATCCTTACAACAAGTTCTTTCACTCCCAAAATCACTCTTAAGACTTGACTTGATAAGAATGTCAAGTCAAGGGTTTTTTTTCTACTTTAGTACTCAAATCCTAATTGACATGAATAAATCAACTAATAAACAAAATATCTATGGATGAAAAACCACTAACTAAACTAAACTACATATATTTGATGGGATTTGGCATCCAATGTCATATGACGTGATAGTGTGAATTATAGATGAAATTTTATTGCTAATACCATTAAAGAAATTTTGAAATTTATCAACTTATAAAACAACTTCATTAATCTTTGTAGAATTCATTTTTAGAAGCATGGATAGTGTAATAAATGTCTATACTACAAAATTAAATAAAAATATATAAAAACATATCAATTAGATATTACTTTCTTTCTAAATTAAAAGAGGTTTTTTAAATATTGATTAGTTTTTTAAAATTTATATAGATATTTTATGTGTAATAGATGTCTATATTATTTAAATAAATAGAAGTAAATAGAAATAAATAAAACATATTAGATAAATAATATCTTTTCAAAAAAACTTTAAAGAGTCTCGAAGATGAAAATTAGATCTTTAGATTCCTGTAGATATGCTATGTTGCTATTAAAACTTATCTTATAAGTCTCATATTTTTAAAAGTCATGTTGGAAGTAACTTATAACTTGATGCTTAGATGACAAAAATTACAACTCTTAAAGAACTTTTACAAGGTTTTTTTTAGTAGCAAATATATATAAAGATAAGAACAAAATCATATCATTCTTGTCAATATCTTTTTTGCATTAAAATATAAGTTCAAGATGCTTTGGTTTCTTTGTAATTGACAATATTCATTCTTATATTTTTTATCTTATGTTTGTTTTTTTTCTTCTTTATTTTTTCTATTCTTTAATAATATATGAGTGTATAATCTTTTGGATTTTGTTTAGATTCATGTTTTTAAAACCATGTAGCTATTATAATAAGAATTTATAATTATTTTTAATACAAGTTCTTATTATAAACATGTTTTAATTAGATAATTTTAATAAATTTAAGATATAAAATTATAAGGATTTTTTTCCTAATTAATTTTTTAATCTTTTACATCCAAATTATAAAGATAATATTTTTTAAATATTATATTTTTCTATTCTTTTCACACCATCAATATTTATATTTTTATAGTGTATTATATATAGGACCAATATACAACTATTACAATAATAATATTAAAAATAAAGTAAAAGAATGAAATACAAAAATTCAAGTTCAAATTCAAATTCAAAATTAAAATAGAATTTAGATGATAGTAAAATAATCCAATAAAAAGATAAAAATTATGACATAGTCTTTTTTATTTTTAATTAATAGAAAAATAATTTAATTCTTTTGTTACCATCTTATTTTATAATATCTTTAAAACTCAATACTCTTTTATTAAAAAATCTTAATAAAGAAAAGTCCCCTATAAGACTTTTGAGCAATGATTTTTTAATGAAAGAAGGCCCATTAAAGCCCATGAAGTAATGTTTAACATGTAAAAAAGTATGACCATCTAATTGTTTAGAAAATAAATCAATTCTATATGTGTCTTATAGAATAAAAGTCTTAAAATTGTAAAGAAATTTATTATATAAAACTTTATACCTTATACAAAATACTTTGAAAATCACTTGTAAAATATGCCAAACTAATCATTGATGTAATTTTATTGCAAGTTGCTAAATAAGCTAATACTCACATTAATGTCACCAAAAGACATCTGCCTTAGCTGCCCTACCACAGACACCACCAACCATATAAACAAATATATGGTGATTCGAATCCAAAGTCGGATCTCCTCCCGAAGTGAGACCATGGTATTGACCCTACGAGTGGCACAGACTTTCTGAGTGCATCATGACTGAAATTGTACAATACAATGATAACATAAAATTTCACTATCAAGCCACGGCACTTCAGTGTACATGAAAAACAAAATTTAATACATCAAAAGCCGCTGCATACATTTAAGTAATCTCAAAACAATACATCGGATATTCTTCCTAGCCTTCTTGATGTATTGTTTTGAGATTACTTAAAATGTCAAGGTTTCTACTCGCAGATGGCATGGCCAACTTCGTGGTATGCAACACAACTCTTGCTATCGCCGTCTGTCACGATGATGCCCTGCTTACCTTACCAGCCACGTCTTTCCCTGCCTCCCAGTCAAGATAACTGCCTCGTTCAGCATGTTAGCCAGATCAGCTCCCCTGAAACCTGGTGTTCGCTTGGCAATAGTCTCCATAGACGCATCATCGGCAAACTTTACGTTGCTTGTGCGTACCTCGAGTATTTCAGTTCTTCGATTCACATCAGGCACCTCTACCGACAGCCATATCAAACCATCTCCACACTACAAAACAACCATAATGGAGTCAAAATCAGGAATAAGGTGATCATTAGATTAAGTTCACAAACCAAAACATGACGAAGTAGCTTTCCCTGTTTGTCAACTCGTCCAGGACATAGCAGAGTGGCGTCGAGATTATCAGCCTGTTATAGCTGCTATAACAATCACCCCGGTGTTGCCTGCGGAACCATCCATCTCACTCAACAATTGATTCAGCGTCTGTTCTCGCTCATCGTCGCCTCCACCAGTTCGAGTTCTTCTTCGTCTTCCAACGGCATCAATCTCGTCAACAAACACAATGCAAGGAGCATTCTTCCTAGCCTTCTTGATCAAGTCTCTAACACGGGAAGCCCCCACTACCACAAATATTGCCACGGACTCTGACTCTAAGATGGAGAAGAATGTCACACCAGCTTCACAAAGATGGCCTCAGCCAGGACAGTTTTGCCTCGTACCAAGCGGACAGACCAGCAACACTCCCTTGGAGATCTTGGCACCTACGGGGGCAAACCTCTCAAGCGGGTTCAGAAATTCCATAACTTCCATGAAGTCCTGCTTCACTTCGTTTACTCCTGCAACGTCCTGGAAGATGATTCCCGTATTGGGTCCAATCTGGATTTCCCCTCTGATTTCCCAAAAGTCATTGGGTTAACGGGGATGCCAGGACCCATACCTCCCTGGAACTCTGAGACAAGAAGAACAGACCTCTCACGATCAACAAGGGGAGAGACATTTTCCACGGGATTTACTTGGTTCTAAGGGTTCTCTTGAGAATTCTCGCTGTTCAGCGCCATCGCAAATTCAAGAAATGCAAAATCCTCGAAACCCAATAACCGAAACTTGAAGACTTGCAGTCTGCTCTGTGTAGCCAACTGCAGTGCCTAATTCAGCAGGACTCTCAACTTGGCAGAACTCTCAATCGAAAGGCATCTATTCGAAGAAGATAACACAGAATCATCGCTACGTAACCGGGGAAGAGTGGAGGAGTCTGGGAGACACTTTCGCCCACATAGTACAGAGGGGCGTCAGAGAAAGAGCTGTTCACCAAAGAACAGTCTTTCTGCACTGTCAGAGAACGGTATTTTGATCTGTTCTGTGCGTCGTGAATAAATCTCCAAAGACTTGGGGCGTGAGGCAACGAACGAAGATTTAAGGAAGAGACTGTCCCATTGCCACTTGTTACAGAGCTCTCTACTGTCGAGCTCACTTTTTGTCTCCTGGTTTGTTCTAATGGCTTACATTTTCCTTGACCGCTGCTTATGCAATGCTGCCGCTTTTATGCGGTGAAGTTGACGGGATTCGTATGGCGGTTCCAATTGCTTCACATGCGTCCGTCTAATTTTCAGTTAAAAATAGTTATGACAAACTAGAAACTTCATGATTAAATAAGCAAACACTGCTCTGGCAGTTGCAGTCGCTGTCATTTGAGGATCATGCCTGGATTGTCACGCGATCATTACTCGTAATAAATCCAACAATGTTGTGAGCCAAGACGGGATTCGGACATGTCAACTTATAATCCTGCAAATTAAAAGCATTCCGTAGAAGCGTGAAAAGAAAAACTATAATTGCACCACATTCTCCTCAAGTCTAGCTATACCCTAAACTGATGACAGAGCCGCATCTTAATAAAAGAAAAGCTTCCTATTTTCCTATAGCAAACGAAGTAGAAAAGAATGCTAGCATCTTGAACTAATTCCAATGCCAAGCATTGTGAACAACCGTAACAATTGTTAAGTCTGCAGCATTGTCCACATAACGTCAAATTCGAGATCCTGTAACAATTGAGAATGTGAAAAACTTGCTTGCTTTTACAAAATTGTAATTCTGTGACGTATAACGACCATTGATCGTGAGTGTACCATTTTACATCTATGATTGAGAGTTGTATAGAGTCAAAATTTATCGAGACATGAAGTGTCACTTCAGATCCGGGTGAACTGTCACCTATCAGAAACCTCTAGCATACTAGAGAGTGGAGTAACCAGGATTGTGGTGTACAAAAGTTTCCGAAGGTTAAAAAGAAAACCTTACTTCGGTAACAAAAAAAGAAGACATACAAGGGTGCGGCAGGATCGTGCTATCTACTCCGCAAAATCTCAAATGAAGCCGGATGGGCTTCACAGTCGAGGTCGATTATGTTGTGGTCTTCCTCGAGCGCCAGCCTCTTTGGTTAGCCCCCATTTTCTGAGAGGAAGCGCCCACGTCCTGGCCAGAACCTTCCGTTTCGTCCCCGTCCACTGTATCGCTGCTGGCAGGTTGATGTCTTCTGTTGGGCTCCACGTCTTGTCCACTTGATTGTTCTATACTTTGATTTGGATTCCCAGACACGCTCAGCAGGGCTAAAACATCGCCATGAATCGGACCCTGAGACCAGACAGGTGGCCCCTGGGAAGCAACATTCAACCCCATTGAGGAAGGACTCAGGGGCGCCTTCATCTTTACGTCGGCGATTTGTCGCTGTCTCAAAGATCTATCAAATTCATTTACCACATATGTGCATTTCGAAGGCCCAGGAGCGGGAGGAATCATATGTATATCCAGAGGACCAGGTTTGTGACCTAGCACCCGGTCGAGCTCGCTGATCACAAACGAAGCTTGATTCCAGTTGGGCATCGATGAAGGCAATGGTAATCCCTGCTGCTGCCTCAGTATTCTATCTACATCACTTATGTGCGGCGGGAGTCGTGATGACTTGCTAGCTGTCATAGACTCCATTTTCTGTACATCAAATATATGAGGAAGAAGCCGGTTGGTTCGCGGTGCTGGACTGTGAGGCTCTCCTGTCCATGGCCTAACAACCCTTTCCTTGTCCCGCGCAATTTGAACAGGCTCCAGAAGTGGAACAGGAAGCTGGGAGAAGTCCACCTGAATGTCAGGTACTGCCTGTCTCGGCGTCTTATCACCAGAACAGTTGCCATTCTGCGTAGACCTATCCTTCGGAGGAGCTTGCCCCTGAGAATGAGACCCTCCTGAAGCGTATTGCGCTTGCATCTGGTTGAAGAACTGCTCAGTGTGCGCTTGCAGAATCGCCTGAAGCTCTGCTTGAAGCGACCGCGTGGCCTCATGCACATGTGCCTGCATTTGAGCACTAATCACCTGGAAATCGACAACTTTGCATATGAGGCACATTTAGAGCTCTCACAAACAAGATTTGATTCCCACATCAGATCCACATCACATAGAAAATATAAAGTAAGATTATTATTAACTGACCTGAAGCTGCAGCCGTACTTGAGTGAAGAGAGACTGCATCTGGGCAAGCAGACGCTGATTGCTAATGTCCACCATTTCCACTACCTGGTGAACTTCCACCGAAATGTTAGAAAGGAAGGACGAGCAATTTTTAAAGCCAATTTCATATTCGATGCATGATGATGACATTTAACGAGAAAACACACCTGTTCATTAAGCATCCGCACCCGATTCCAAACAGCCTCACTTTGCGCACCAAGACGGGTTTCTAAAGAGGCTAAATTTGGCGGACCATCCCAGTGTAGAGTGCTGCTTCGCTGCGCAACGTTCAATTCGTTGAACCGAGGAGTATCCAAGGGCGGTGGGACATTGAAATGGATTGGCTTAACAGACTCTATGTTGAGTGGATCGATACTCTCCAATCTACCATCTGTTGATGCTGGGGCTCCAACAGGAGATGCTGAGGAGGACCGTTTTCTTTTCTGTCCAGAGGTGGATGGTTTTTGATCAGCTCCAGGTGGTGCTGAGTAGAATAAACAAAGGGATTACCAGTGTCAGCAGCAGATGCGAGATTCTAATGATGTTGTAGCCTGACACTGGACGAATATTATTGAAACGCTGCAGAATCCTCCTAGCAGTGCTGTCACTCAGTTCACATTTACGCTTTCAATGCAGCGCAATACCAACTCTCTAGTACAATAAAATATTGTCACTAACACTGACCTCCAATTTTGTATTTTAAGGACTGCAGCGATTCTCCACTTGTGGCTCTAGCTTGAAGTCGCGCAAAGTCTGACATAGACCCAACGCCATCTGAAGAGCCTATAGGACATTTAATTTAAAATCTCCGCAAGGTATCAAAGCAAGAAAAGTAGTTACCTAAATAACGAGCGTACAACTCGACGATCACGCATTCAATAAAGAAACATATCCTGACTTATTATGAGGCTAACATAAATCAAGGCCTCGTGCTTTCACTTCAGACTGATATCACATAAAACATAATCGAAAAGGAACACGTGTGAACATACCACCAGAATGTTGAGGAGTTGCACCAGGAGCAGGGACAGATGGACCTGTTTGCTGAGGTTCAGCGACTCCCTTATCAACCACTAGTGCAGAAGAAATAGCATGCAAGGGCCTGTCACTATCCACCTCAGACTCCGGTGTTCCTGTTTGTTTGAGATCGGGATCAAGAAATGAAACCAATATATTGAAAACTTCCTCGTCCAATGCCCCAGGCAGCTTCAGCTCTCTCCTTTTCTTCTCCTTCATCTTCCAATACGACTCCAATCCTTCCTTTCTCTGCCAGTCTCGAACTTTCTTGTAATCAAGATAAAGACCTTTACTCCACCTGCTATTGCACTGTGCACCTGAGCGTGTAACACCATGGCTACGACAGAACTTGGAGATATTCTCCCACTTGTCACCAGCGGTACCTACTGCACTCTTGGAGGCTACATCATGAGCTTCATCTTCCCTAGCCTTCAAAGCATTTGCTAGGACCACAGTCTCAGACCGAGTCCAGCGGTGCCCCACTGCATGTTCTTCCTCCCCTCCACCCTCCATTTACTCGACTGCCTTAATCGAATGCAATGATATGGAGGTGACATACCATTCGGTTGGAAGTCTGACTCGATTACTTTAAACTGAAAAAATCCTCGTTCGGCTTAGAACAGCCACTTGGAGCAACTCGGATCATAATACTACCGCCTTCAGAGACACCTTTCAACATCCATGCGACCTTTGAACTGATGTTCTCTGATCTTAATTTAAAATGTGGCCAGCTCAATACACCGATGAATTACGTCATGCTTTGCCCTAATTACCTGCAATGTGCGAGTATGGTGGTCACTGGAGGAATACCAAATTCGGCCCTATTCAGAGGTTTGTATTAGTTCTGGTGGAGGAAAGCCCGTGGTTTGCGAAGGCCGCTGCTTGAAATCCGTGAGGACTTGTAATAATTAATACATGTGTCAATATTACAGAAGAAGAGGTCAATCCTGTAAAAAAATAAAGCCAAGTTAAAAAATAGTTCAATATATAAATAAATGTTCATAGTTAACTTGCAGTAACAACAGAGAAATTCGAACAAATAGAACAGTAGCACGAGTAGCAAAATCAGAATACCCAATCCTATGTGATGATTTACAGGAACTATGTAAATGGTTATTTCACTCACTAAATGAGAGATGCATGCACCAAATACAAAGACTTGCATCAGGATGATACCAATTACACAATGATTAGACACAAGGTATAGGCCCCACTGTTGGCCCGCACAGCTGTACTGAGAAAAACAAACACTAGGGTTCTGTCTCACAAAGACCTAAGTGCTCGTCCAAGGGCAGCTACCTGCTTCAACTATGTTCAACAGAACGAAATTACTCGATCTTAAGATATGAAGCCAAGACACGCTTAATGCTGTAATGAAGCATATGTAGAAGCGGCTAGACTTTCTTGCTACAATGAACATAATCGATAAAATAATAATAATAATAAGTGAAAAAAAAGGCAATCATGAGCCCGAGGGGTTCCTCTTCATACTTTAATACATGATTAGTTTCACAATAAAAATATGAAAATGTTGTTACCTCAAACATAAACTTCATGCCTTGCGCACAGACACACACGTGAAAAACACATCTCACTAGAAGGGACAATACCAAATAATATGACGGCAAATTTATTCAACCCCCTCAAGTATTGATTTCGGAAGAATAAAGCATATGCGTAACTTCCCAAGCTCGAACCGAAAGAAACTAAAAAGAATGGTCTCGTAAATTATCGGCTTGTAGTCACAGATAATACCTCAAGGCCCAGAAGCGGTAACTACCTAGATGTAGGAGGGTAATCTCCTGAAAAAATACTTAACATGATAATTAAACTGTACCCCGACTTAACACACAACAAGCTTCAACAACACTCCTACACGAGTTATCAAACTTTTGAAACTCACATGTCCCGCACACTTGCAATATGATCAACGCCACTGGTAGCTATAAAAATCTGGTACGTTTCGGGCGAAGAAGGACTTCGCTCGAACGTTGAATTTTTCAGCGCCTACCGAAGCATCAAGAAATGGTCAAAAGAAGACAATAAATTTTTAATTCATTTCGTGCAAGGAAAAATCTGGTACCAAAACACATTCATCTCGACAACTTTCTCAAGCTAAGCTCAAGGAAGGGAACATTCCACCACGTACCGAAAACCATTCTCCCTGAAACACACAACCCTCCACCATCCCTCCATTACCAAAACCCCTCCAACCGAACAACAACATCATCGTTTACCATCATCTCCCAACTATGTAGCACCCGAAGACGCTCCAAACAACAACCTCTCTCATAAAACTCAAAAAAGAAAAAAAAAAAAAAAAAAAAAAAGGAGAGAGAGAGAGAGAGAGACTGCGTAGCTCACTTGTACACGACCAATCTCGAACAAACACCAGGCATCAAAAGTGGATGCCATGAAACTCGAGCAAGGATTAGAAATCTGGATGGGAGGAACACTAGGGCATGGCCATCCATGGCATCGGCATCGACATCCTCCCCTGGTCTCCCCACTTCATATCCCTCAACAACGAAAGGAAAGGAAATCGGACCAGCACCACCACCATTCAGACCCAGACTCAGGTAGGAAGGCTGGCAGACTCCACTCTTCATTCATTTCTTCCTTCGCTTTCTCCATTACTCCCTTTCCTTTCCTTCCCTTCCCTTCCACGTCGGTCGCACCGGCCTCAAAGACCCTAAACTAATAACCCTGCCCATCCCATCTACACTTCTCGTACATCCTCCTCGCTGTACGACCCCCCCCCCGTCTTATCTACCGTTACGCCAGAATTAGCGTGGCCGACAATCGCTACCTCCTCCATGAACGTGAACCATGAATACATGAATACATGACCCTGAGAGAGAGACCCCGTACACACACACCGGTGTAATTGGTTTCCCTTTCCCTACTGAGACGACTCGCTCTTGGTCTCCAGCACCGGGTGCAGCCGGTGTTATTCTGGTGAGCGACTTCTTTCCGCCGCCAAAATAGGTTTCCGCCGGGTGCCTCCGGTGGCTTGAATAAATGTCACGTGAAGGTACAAAATCGCGCTACGAAATTACGCTGTTCACACGGGGTACCGTAGATCTGCTAGCACAAAATGTTGCATCACTGCGCTATGGGGAACCTGTAGAAATATTTAGATGAATAACTAGTAATGATGTTGATTGATGATTAAAAATGAATAATTACTCATTTCTCTACAAGTTTACATATCCAAATACTATATTTACACATTAAAATTCTGTAAAAATATCTGATTTTATTTATGTACATTTAATTTGCACTTTTCTACAACTATATAAAAATAATAATCTTTTTTTTATAAAAAATGATATTTATTTTTTGTAAATTAAAAATTTGAATGTTAAACTGATGTGTTTTGATAATTTGGACTTAAATATTTTGTATTTTTATTTTGGTAGGAAACTTGTAAAAATAATAGTAGTAGATTTTAAAGATTTATAATAATAACTCATTTCAAAATATCATTTTTATTTATAATTTTTATATAAATTTTAAAATTTCTTAATTCTCACCTTTTAGTAATTATATATGTATTTTTAACTACATATTTATTATTCTTTTATTTTTTGAATGAATATGAATTCAAAAAAAAAATATTCATTACATTTATTTATTATTTTTGAGATGACTTCATTTTTATTCAATTTTTTAATATATATATATATATATATATATATATATATATTTAATTTTAGTGTTTCAATATATTAAATTTTAAATACACAAATATTCATTGAGTTTCTATAATTTATTGGTTTATAATAAAGTGCATAAGACTTCTTGTAAAGTTGTTATTTAGTTTTTAAAAGTTTAAAGTCTTTAAATTAAACCTTTATAATAATATATATATATATATATATATATATATGTTAAAAATAGATATAAATAATTATACATGATAAATTATTAATAATTATAAAAACAATTATATTGCATCAAAATTAGTTATAAAAGATCTTAGTTGTAAAACAATTAAAATCAAACAATTTTTAAAATTTGTTTAAGCTTAATCATAGACAATAGTATATTCATTTGTTTATTTTTATATTTTTTTAGCTGCCTTCACAATAACTACTATATTGATTTCTATTATATTTTTATTTATAAACCTATCTTTATTAGTATTAAGGATATAAATTAAATCAATTTTTTAAAAAATATATTACATTCTAATGTCATTGAAAGTGAGAAAGTATAAAAGTAAGAGATAGATATACAATAAAATAAAATAAAATAAAATAAAAACTAAGAAGATTATTGCGAAATATAAAGAGACTAAAATGTCTTGAATCAAGACATAAATACAAGAAAGGTGTTAAGAAGCTTAAACATAGTCTTAATCTTATATCTATATATATTTGTATCACATACATATAAATTTACTCTAATAATTACCTATATAATTAAATAGAAGTAGATAAAAGTAGAATAATTTTATAATATCTTTTAGAGAAGCTTTTTAGAAGCTTTATAGATATGACTTTGATTTTACAGAAGTTTGTAGTTGATTGATAGGTTAGAAACTTGGCCAACAAGTTAGTCACATGTCGCACATGTTGATAGCTTGTGGAATAAGCTAATTATATGGTGCATATATTGAAAACTTGCCTTGCAAGTTAAAACATGTTTCTAACAAAATCAACATGTATTAGAGGTCTTTGTCACGGACATACTTATATAAGCTAGTAATTACATATACAAATAGGTGGAAGTAAGTAAAAGTAGGTAAAAGTAAGTTAATTCTATAGTATTTAATATGGAAGCTTTTTAGAAGCTTCATAGACACTGCTTTGACTTCATAGGTGTCTTTAATTGACTTTTTGGATTAGAAACGTAGTCAACAAGTTGGCCATGTGTCACTTATGTTGTTAGCTTGAAGATCAAACTAACTATGTGGCCCACACGTAGAAAAACTTGCCTTGTAAGTCAAGGCATGTGTCCTATAAAGTCAACACATATTGGAGGTCCTATAGAACGTCGCCACGTAGCCCCTAGTTAGATAGTATATATAGAGACAAGAGTGAAGGCTTCTTCACTCTTGTCAACTCCTTTCTTGCTTCCAGTTTAGTTTCAAGGGTCTCTAGTTTTCTTGTCTTTTGGCAATAGCCATTCTAGTTTCTCTTTCAATATACATACTTATTTATTTATATTTTGTTAACTTTCTTTGAGTAAAGGCTCACTTCTCTGAATTGATTTTTCATCGAGTTCTTGTCCTTGACAGATTGATAAGGTTATACCTACAATATCACAGCTTTGTCTAATCTTGATTAAGAGTGGATTACCCCTTTTTCTTGATAAGATATAAGCCTATTAGAAGTTGCGGATTACTCTCTTCTAAACTAATATTGTCCTTAGTATTTTCTTTGTTTCTAAGTCCTCTCTTCTATTTGTCTTCAGCGATATTAGACATCTTCTCTCTTCTAAGTGTTATCATGGCAGAACTTCTTGAAATGAAGAGTGCAATGGCACAAATAAAAGAGCAATTGAGGGAGTTAATGCTTGCAATGTATTAACTCAATTTACCACCACAAGGAGCAACAAGATTGGCAGGAAGTGAAGATATAGAAATGGTTGGAGCTGCTTCAATATCTACACCAAACCATGTCCTTTCTCATATAGTGGAATGTCCTTCAAATATTAGAGAACCAAGAATTGTCCTACCCAAGAAGTTTGATGGCACAAGATCCAAGTTTCGAGGATTTATCAATCAAGTGCAACTTGTGATTGAACTTCAATTCCAAAGCTATCCAACTCCAAGATCGCAAGTTAGATTCATTAGTACGCTTCTTTCAGGTTCAGCGCTATCGTGGTTTTTATCTTTTCTTGAACAACGAGATCCAATATTGGATAATCTAGAGGCTTTTTTGGTGGAGTTTCGATCCATGTATGGAGAACATGATGCAATTCGTGTTGCAACCAATAAGATCCGTATTTTACGACAAGGCAATCGATCACTAACATTATACGCTTCACAATTTTGATAACTTGCAATTGATATCAAGTGGAATGATGCTGCATTTATTAGCCAATTTCTCTACGGATTACAATATGAGGTAAAAAAATTAATGCTCAACTTACTTGATCCTCAAACATTGAGTCAAGCAATTGACTTTGCTGTGAAGTGCGAAAATCACCTTTTTGAATTCCAATCTGAGAATCGACCTCAACGTTACTATAATTCAATGGCAACACCAACACCTCTTCAACACATACATTCGAAAGTAGAAGATATGCAAATTGATGCAGTACGTTTCAAACCTCTTGCTGAGCAAGAAAAGACTCGTTGTCGTCAAGAAGGATTATGTTTATATTGTGGAGAACCAAAGCACACTGCTCAACATTGTCCAAAGAAATGACGTAATCACAAAATGAGGAGTATGGCTGTGAAAGAAGATAATATGTCAGAAAACGAGTTTGTCCTACTACAATAGGGACCGTGCGGCTGGAACCTTATACAACATCTAATAAAGGTCCTATTCTCTCCTTAGAGCCCTCTCCTTGTTTTACATTAAATATTATTTTAGGACCTAAACATTACAAAGTCTTTGCCTTGTTAGATTCAGGAGCCTCAGCATGTTTTTTAGATGAAAAATTTACTAAAAGACATAACATATTTTTAGTAAAGAAAACTAAACCTGTTCATGTAGAAGTCATAGATGGTCGTCCATTGTCTTCTGGAGATATTACTCACGAAACCCTTCCTATAGAAGTAATAATCAATGGTCATAATAGTTTTGTAGTATTTAATATCATTAGATCTCCCTCTAATCCAGTCATTTTAGGATTATCGTACTTAAAAAAATACATCCCTCAAATAGATTGGATTTTCCGAACTCTTACTTTCTCTAAAAGTATAACTAATAGTGTACTTAATCAAGTTGAGAGTCATAAGTCTAGTTCAATTAAACCTGTATTTATAGGTGCAAAAGCTTTCTTGCATGCTGCTATGAAAAAATCACCATATATTATTTATGCCACACTTGTTTCTATTGGTGAAAAGACTTCAAGTGGCATTCCAAGCCAATATCAAGAATTTCAAGTTGTATTTGAAAAAAAGAATGTGGATACACTCCCGGAACATCATCCATATGATTGCTCAATTGACCTTCAAGAAGGAGCACAACCGCCATTCAGACCAATCTACAGTTTATCACAAAATGAATTGACTGAACTCAAGGAGTATATTGAAGAAAATCTAGCCAAGAATTTTATATGCCATTCAAAATCTCCGGCAGGAGCTCCAATTCTATTTGTGAAGAAAAAAGATGGATCATTGCAGATATGTGTTGATTATCGAGGATTCAATAAGATTACCATCAAGAATAGGTATCTACTACCTTTAATATCTGGACTTCTTGATCAATTGAATCAAGCTAAGATATATACAAAAATAGATCTTCGGAGAGCATACAATCTAGTACGCATCAAAGAAGGAGATGAATGGAAAACTGCATTTCGAACTAAGTATGGACATTTTGAATACAACGTCATGCCTTTTGGACTTACAAATGCACCAGCAGCTTTTCAACATCTAATGAATGATATTTTTCGAGAGTTTTTGGATGATTTTGTAGTCTATTATCTAGATGACATCTTGATCTATTCTAAGAATCTAGAAGAACACGAGCTTCATGTTCGTCGTGTGTTACAAAAATTAAGAGATGCAGGACTCTATGCCAAGATAGAAAAGTGTGTATTCCACACTACTCAAG